CGCCAAACCTGAGTTCGGAGATTTAACAAAGTGGAACAACCGAGTGATCAGTAATTTACTGTACTACCAGACGAATTATTTCGCCGTGGCTCTGGTGGTTTTCCTCATTGTAGGGTAAGTCCTGGTAGCATCCTAACGCATCTCTAGCTCTGTGTTTAATTAGCCTGCACACCCAGCAGTCCTATCTATACACACCCATCGTGACAACGCAGGCTATTCATGTAACATTTGCTACTATTGTGCCAACATTTGAAGCGCCGTAACTTGTTTGTCGCCTCTGCGTTTTCGACAGTTACCTTGCTTGGCCTGTAGCAGTTACACATTTTCTTTCTAAATATATGTGTATTCAGTAACAGGAACTTTCACTAAGAATACTGCTACGTTAGCTAGCTTAAAAGTGCTTCATAAGCGGTCCACCATAACTTAATCCTCTTTATTTTAAAATTAAAGCTACGTATTGGGATGTTGAGTGTTTATGACATTCAATGATGCTACATTCCACCACATATCAATGCCGTGATTTAGCATAATATGAAGCTGGTTCAGTCCTTTGAATAAAGGATAAGTGGAATTCATGAGGATGTAGGCCTTACTCATAGACAGTGGCCTTACTGCAGGCATCTGCCCTCTTGTGGGTTACACCAACTGACAGACCGGGGCATTAAAGGAAAAACATACATATCAAATGCAGATGGTTCCATGCACCAGGGCTCACAAATGGTTTGGTGAGTTTGAAAATGACGTGAATAATATGCTAAAGCCTTTACAGTCCCCAGATCTCATTTCTTGATCATCTTGATTTCAATGACATTACCTGATTAAATAAACGTTGTTTATCTATAAATGAGGGAATATCTTGTGGAGGAACACCGTGTTCATCCCTACAAAACACAGACTTGGCAAGGAGCACTGAAGCAGTTCTGGAGGCTCGTGTTGGCCTGACTGAGACACTTCATGTTGGTTTTTCCATTCATTTGTCCCCCATCTGTATGTCATTTCATCATGTTCCAATATTCAGGTTCCTGAACCCATTGGGCATGTTTCTGGGCGGAGCTGTGGTGACTCTGGTCTTCATTGGTTCAGTGTGGGCAGGAGAAAACAAGGCCATCGTCAAGAACTTCAAAAAGAAGAACCCCACGCTGTTTGTCATCGGGGTCATGGCCACCAGTTACTTTGTGCTGTCGTTGTGCGGTGGTGTCATGGTCTTCATCTTTGGAATCACTTTCCCTTTGCTGTGTAAGTTTCAGCGGATTCCACACTGTTTTCTGTTTACTTTTAAAACAAGGGAATGGAGAATTCAGTTATAAAATTATATTCAGGCTGTCAGAAATCACTCCCTACATACCATATAATGCATTACATTTACTGTCCCCCTTTTTACTTCACTGTCTGAATTTTTAAGTGTGAAATGTATATTCACTATATAGTGTCCTAAAGCAGTGTCCGTGGCATGTGTGCCACTTTCTGCTAACAATCTCAGTGCAGTGTATCACAGTTTATAGATAAGAAAATTCACAGTCTTGCGACTTACAGCTATCAGCGATGATGCAAAATGATGATTTATAAGGGTCCAAAATCTCAATTTACTGCACACAAAAGAGTTAACTATTAAGTGTCTAATTAGATAGGGAGTAGTAAATCAGTGTACAAGGGAGTGTTTTCAGACACATCCTTGATTTAGGCAAGGTATGATCAGGTTCTGTTACTGAAGAGGATTAGGGCTATGTGAGAGATTTAATTGAGCAACACAGAAATACACTGAGATTAATCTTGTGGGAATTCTGAGATTTAAAATCCAGAATTATTGACTTTACTCAGTAATCTGACTTTTATTATTTTTGACAAAAGAATTCTTAACTGAAGGTCCACTCATGTAGTGCAAAATTTCCAGAGCTTTTTAAGCTAGAGCTATTAGAGGGTGGAGTGTGCTCAGTTGTCACGGAAATGGTATTAGCACATGAATATTGAATTTTGGTCACGTGATGACAAGAATTTTATTTAGTTAAACTGCTGTGCCCAAGATCAATAATGAACATTCAAGCTTAATTTTTTAAATATTTAAAAAGATTTGCCAGTGTTGCCCTAAAAACGCATATAGAAAATGGAAAAATTGAGCTTTATGTCATTTTTAATAGTTTCTTCTTGATTGCAACAACTCTCCCACTTGCAATTTAAGGGCATGAGCCTTGTAAAATTTGATGGTTAGTTAGTTATGAGGAATCACACACATTCCTCTCTCTCATTCTGTATTTTCTGCAACACTGTGAGTTTGACACAAAAAACTAACTTTGAGGCATCTAACCAGTTCCCTGGTAATTAGCCTCTCAAATCTTATTTTAACAGATGTGATGAAGATATTTAGTCTCTTTTAGTGCTTGGCCTACTCTATTTTTAATTTCAACTTAACTTATATGCCAAAAACTTGTTGTCTAATGTAACACCATGAAAACTGTTATTGGGGGATGTTGAGTCACGCAGGGATGCATAGCTGAGGTTTTCCTGGGGGTGAACAAGCTTTTCCAAACACTCTCTCATTCTGACTCACTGTAGGGATGAACAGTGTGTGCTGCATTACTGACATGCATTCATTCATGACGCAGATTGGAAAATAAAGTAGCAGTACATCAGAGCAAGCTATAATGTACTTTAGAGGTATAGTTTTGGATTCTGCTACAGCTCTCTAAATACATTTAGAGTCAGACGGTCGGCAGAGTGGTTTAGATAATTGATGGGTTGGACCCAAATGTAGCAGCTCTAACATCATGGCGGATAGATGAGACAGTTTGATCCCAGGAGCCCTGCCCACGGCTGGCTGTGTTGACGGGTTGCTATGGGTTGTTGATTTGGACAGAACTGCATTTACTGGCTGATGTCATGCATTCAGTATCTGCCTGACAGGGGAATAAAAGGCACGCCAATCCTTACACCTGCTTATAGTCGGAGTTGCAACAGTATCACATTTTGTTTTCTTGTTTTCCAAGATTCCATATAATATCATCTATTAAGTCTGAGAGACTGTAATTTATGTTTCTTATTTTCAAATTGGAAAAAAAGTAGAAATGACTTGCTGTTGCCTTTCCTGCAGTAATACTGATCCATGCCTCTCTGAGACTGCGCAACATGAAAAACAGACTGGAGAACAAGATTGAGGGTGTTGGGCTAAAGAAGACCCCCATGGGTATCATCATGGACCTCCTGGATCAGCAGGAGGAGAAAATTAACAAGATTCAGGATTTCATTGAAAGCAAACTGAAGGAATAAGGCAAAAGTGTGCCAAGGGAAGTCATGCAGCCCGGATTAAAACTTCGATAGCATTTATCCCCTTTATACATGTAAAGTTACTGATGTTTGCATTCCCATACTGTTTTTCTGTTTTTGTTTGACTTTTTTCTCTTATATGTTTGTTTGTTTACCCTGTCTAAAGTGCATAGATGGATAATAACATTATAACATGATTTGCACAATCACAGCGTGTATTGGATGTTGAAAGGTAATGGGCACTTAAGGTTACCAAAGTTTGAGCACTCCTGTGTCAAAAATATACCCAATAACAACTAATTTTCCCCTGTTGACAACGCACTTTGTTTGACACGACGACGAGTATTTCATCCAAATAAAGCAGTCTGAACTGAATATCTAATGCAGACATTCATAACCAATTATATTTGTTCTTTAAAAAACAACAACAATATGGATCCTTTCAGTTTGCTACCTCAAAACAAGCATGTTTAATTTTCTTCTCACTGAGTAAACCCGCATTACCAAGATACAGACCCAACACCCAGTGGATTAACTGCTTATTAAACAGCAATAACTCCCATCTTGCCAATGTAGGAATACTGATCTGAGACCAGTGTGCTTCTGGTGGAGACATGGTTGTATGGCCTGACTGATAATCATGGAGTTTAAATATTCCTTTTATCAAAAGATTTGTGCTTACAGTTTCTGACCATACAGGCTGGCCTGACTGTATCCCTTTTGATCACAGCTATGCAATATTGAAAAATGAATGGCAAGTGCAGCTTTATTGTTTGAATATTATGTCATGGTATGTATAAGTTTGTTGTTATTTCTAATGTGTCTTTACATTCACAATATAGCATGCAGAAATGTATAAAACGGCTGCAAGAAAACAGAGTTTAAATGAATGAACTTTAATTTATCACTGTTCTCTCTTAATTAGTAAATACTGGACTAGAGATGAAGAGACATCCCATGCTACATTCCTATTCTCTGTTGGGATCAAATCCCTTTTTCTTGTAAAAAAGAAGAACTAAATTAATCATCTGTGATGTTAAGCGTTCATTTTATACTTACACTCCTGGCAGTTGTTTCACACATGCACATTGACTGCAGTTTGTGGATCCTACCTTCACAAGTGTAAGTTCAGAGAGATTCTTTGTTATGTGGATGCTATATTATATGTTATCTTTGTTTTATGTGACTTTTTCATTCTTGAAAAGTGATGATAAAATCACTGAACTTGAAGTTAACATGGCATCTATTAAAATAAAGATAACAGGATTTGTGTTGCAGTCTTTTCCCAACTGAGTCTCAGTTTGTGAGTATATGGATGCATTTATTAATCACAAACTTAAGTCCTTGTTATTTGGGATAAATCGAAGTGGTGAATTGCAGGCTAGTACTGAAACAAAATGAAAGCCTATTTATAACACTACTGAATAGTGAACTAATGAATATCCCTTCCAGGATTGTACACCTTGTCACTCGATTCAGTTTAAATAATTATCTACATGGCACCAGCTTTTCAGGATTCTGACTCACCACCCTTTCCGCAAATACCTCGCCTTTAAAAAAACAAGGGAGTAATTTGTCTTTTTTCATATCTGCGCCTGTAAGCAATAGCAAAAAGCTACTGGGGAGCAAGTGCAATGATTCACTGGGGATCCATTTAATTTGACATAGAAAGCACTGCAACAGTGATATCCAATTTTAATAAAAAATAAAAAGTTGGAAGCAAAATGCAAGAGCTTTGCTCCCAATTGGATCCTCTAACATTTAATCAAACAAACCTACACTAAAAATATTTTTGTAGCTAAATTTGTCATATATTTGGACAATATACGAAAGTCTTATGTCAACAAACAATATGTTCACCATGTTCTGTGTTTTAGAGATAGCAAATCATGAAAGAGGTGGAACATTTGAATTACAATTGAATAGGAGATGTTTTGGCGATGAACTTTCTTTGAAATTCTTGTACTTTCATTGGCATGACTTTCAACAGCATTCAGTGAGCAACACAAGAGTGGAACAACAACCAGACAATATTTTTTATGTGTAATGAAAGTATAGTTCACTCTTATTTTTCCCAGTTCATTTGAGTAGTTTTAGAGTGACTAATACCAAATATGTGTAAGATAAACAGTATGGTGAAGAAAAACAGCTGAAAATGCAGCCTCAGAGGAGACTTGTTTCACTTGATTCCAGGACTTTTGGGAGTGGCACCTGTAAGCAGTGACAAAGGAAAGAATAAAAAGATGACTTGAATTTCTTGGACAGCAGAAAATCATTATAGATAATACTAGAACACATTCACATATGAATATGAAAGCAGTAACCCTGTTTATCGATTAAAAAACCCTAACATGTCAGATGTTATGCATGCCCCTGAACACAGGATCCCAACTATATGATATCACAGTACTAATTCTTGGATACTCACAGATTTAAGATAGGCCACGTTGCTCTGTTTGATCTCACTTAGTAGTTGATCACGGGGTGTGAGCTCAACCTTTGGTGGGACTCGTCTGCGAGGGACGGGCTTCAAAGTCTTAATCACATCAGTCAGGTTTGCTCTTTCATCTATCATCCCTTCGCTGCCTACATCCTTTACTTTGGGAGTTTTCCTCAGCTGGAAGGTTGCCCTCTCGGGTCTCCTGTCATCCCTTGGGTTTAGATCCAGGAAAGGATCACGTTTCTTGGGAGTCCTCTTCAGCTGGACGTCCCTTAGTGGGTTTGCTGGTTCGGCACTGGGTTGTTTGAGAGCGCTGTTGTGCTTGGGCTGCTTCTGAGGCTGTGGTTGTTCTGCTTGTTGGTGTGTTTGAGATACAGCGCTCACTTCTGACATGGGTGGGATAAGCCCATGCTCCCGCAGGAGTTCTAGAGGCGGTATGTACCCTAGCATCTCAAGTAAACCAGGAGGCAGGTTCAGACTGCTCTCATACATCTGCATCAGCTCCTTTTGCTCCTTCATTTGCTGCTGCCTTTGGTCCTCCTTCCTCAGCTGCCTCTGGCGGTCGAGATTCCTGGTCAAAATGTTGGTGACCACCATCCTGGGCCCTGGCAGCTCAAAATGGTAGCCCATCTTCAGGAGGGTGTTGTTGGCTTTGAGCAGGCGTGAGATCTCCATCTCCGCGTGGTGACCCAGCATATGCCTCTGGTTATGAAAACGCAGCTCTGAGAGAGTCTCATTGAATTGGAGGCAGCGGATGATGGCAACGATGCCCTTTCCGGTTATGAAGTTGGACTCGATATTTAAAGTTGTAATGCTGCGATTCTCTCGTAACATGTTGGCCAGGTTGAAAGCTATGTTTTCATCCACACCGGTATTGGCTATGCTGAAGGTTTTCACATATTTGTTCTTCTTCAAGGCATTGACATAGTCCAAGAGCATCTCTTTGGGAATGTTTTCTATGTTGTTGAGGTTTACCTCAGTGACAGAGGGGTTATTTTTGCGTATTTTGTCAAGTGTTGAATCCAAATTTGTCTCATTTCCTGAAGGTCTTGATGTCATTTTTACATTATTGAGTGCCAGCTTTGGAATTTTTAATTTGTTAATTTTTCTCTCTTCTTTCTGTGGGAGCTTATCATTGGTTTCATTTATCTGTGGCTCCTCTGGTGCCTCTTTGGGGAGCAAAGAGTCTGTAGTAATTTCCTCTTTCTCTTCAACTTGTGACATGCTGTGCTCTGGGGCTGCGCTCTCACTCTTCTCCTTTGTGTCTGAAAAAGGCCTATTGTCATCTGTGTTGTTTTCTGGTACTTTTTCTGTGTTGTTGTCTTGAGGCTCTACATGATTGTCTATAGTTTCATGTCTGTCTGTGTTCACAGGTGACTTCACCTCTTTCTCACCTTTTATATCCACCTCCACGTCTTTTTCATCCATCTCATCAACCTCTTCCACGATTTCCTCAATGATCTCCTCTATAATTTCCTCTCCATCAATACCATCTACAGTGTGCTCCTCAATTACTTCCTCTATCACTTCATAGACTTCATATTTCCCATTTTCTGTGTTTTCTTCTTTTTCTTTCTTTTCAGCTTCCTCCCTCAAAGTTTTCTGATGAAAACAGCACATCAGACCAAGTTATTTTCCAAACATTATCTTTTTTATTCTGCCATTTCACAAGGTTTCTAGTTTCTAATTGAATGCTATTATTTAAATAAAATAAAATAAATTTAACTAAATTAATCTGTAAATTAACTTTTGAGAGTTTCACCTCTTACCTCACTGGGCAGCAGAGTAGCAGGCACTCTTTCTTCCTCAAGCATACGTTTGGACTCTTTCTCCCAGTAGAGGTAATCAACCAGGGATCTGTGGTCGAACGTGCCTGTCGGGGGCTTCTCCGTCTGGTCCTTCTGTCTCTGCCCAACCGGTACACTCTCATCGGGGGCAATAATTACATCCATCTCACTCTGGAGCTCCTTAAGCTCCTCGGGTGAAAGCATAGCAAGGATTTCATCCTCATCAATGTCTTCTTCATTGAGGTCTTCCACGTCTCTACTGTTTGACATGTTTTGGCCTGGTGAGCTTCTTTCTACTAATATCAAAAGGAAGGGTAAGTCTGTCTAATCTATGACTCAGGACAGAGCCAACTGCTTCTGACTTTGACTTCAGCTACAAACTGTTTGCTCCTGCCTCATGTGGAGTCTAAAATTACACCCTGTGAACTGCATGGAAGATATTTAAGGTACAAGCGGGGGAAAGACATGCTAACATTCTTCTTTTAGTCCCTGCTTCCAGCTGGCCTGGCTATCAGGATCTTTTGGGATGACAGTTGCTTCAGGCAAGGAAAGTGTAGGACTGACAGCAGCAGGTGGACCATTTTCACAGGGCTGTTGAAGGGTGGGGGGTGGTGGTAAAGTCTCTGCTGCACACAGAGCTCCTCCCAGTCTCCCAGAGCTTTCCAGAAGACATAACCTCTGAAGTGCTGCACAACAACAAAAACATGAGATCGAGCCAGAAGAGGTCATTAGAGGAATAGATACCAACATTTGAAGAGGAGACATTTCTTTTGTCTGAGTGTTTTTCGTTACTCAAAGCACAGTCCGATACATAGCTAGCAGGATTTCCTGGACGCCCAGAAAATTCACATTTTATTTATATAAGAAAAAAATAACTTTACAGGAATCTAATCTTGAGGTTTCTACATTTTTTCCCTCTGTTAAGTGTTTTTTGGGGGTGTTTTTCCTCATTCGAATCTAGGGTCTAAGGACAGAGGGTTTTGTATGCTGTAAAGATTGTAAAGCCCCGTGAGGCAAACTATGATTTGAGATTTTAGTCTATATACTGTAAATAAAATTGATCTGACCTGAATAGCCATTTTGAGAAATATTTATATTTGCTTTTTTGCTAAGAGTTAGATAAGAAGATTGATACCACACTTCTAATTGTCTATCATATATTAAGGTGCAGCCAGTTAGCTTAGCTTAGTATAAAGACTGGAAACGGGGCTCTATCCAACCTCGGCCGAACAGCACCTTCAAAGTTTAATTAACACATTATATCTCATCTGTTTAATCAGTACAAAAAAGTGTAAAATTGATTTTTTTTTTTTTTCAAGGGGTTATGAGTGGGACTATTTCTTGGCAAAGTGCAGTAACTTCCTTAAGTCTTGTTGATGCTGTGAGGTTGGTAGGCAACCAGCAGGAAGCCATAATGCTTGGCCAAGAAACAGTCTGGCACATAACCTCTTGTAAATACATTTTTAAAACAACAAGATTTTATATGTTAATAACAGCACTTTAGAGGTGTTAGTAGGCATATTTTTACCTTTGGACAGAGACAAAACCTATAAGCGATCCCCTTTTCCTGTCTTTATGCTAAGCTAAGCTAACGACTGCTGGCTATGGCTATTTAATGGACCGATATAACCTTCTCATCTAACTTTAAGCAAGAAAGCAAATACCTGTGAGAATATTTCCAAAAATGTCAAACTATTCCTTTAAGATTTACTCAATTACTCCATAACAGAACCTGAACTGCTTGTTTACAAGCCACATGGACCTCTCAAAGAAAGTGACAACAGCCGTTTATGTGTCACACATGTATTTATTCACATACTTGTTCCCAGTGGAAAATATTTTATGACAACATCTAGCAACAGATAACTACACACTGACTGTACAAATGTGTGAGAAAACAAACAACAAGACATGAATATGTTTTTTACGGCAGTGGTCTTCTGTTAATATAAAAAGAAGTTCTTATCAAAAAATCAATATTCTTACCATGCATTTTTAAACACATTACGCCACCAACAAAGACAAATGGTTCTATAAACAATATTGACATAATACATTCTGATCCAAAGTTTCAAGAAAGATAGAAATGGAAATTAATTGAATACACAGTCTGCTCTAATGAATGATCAATTCAGTTCGTGTCATGACACATTGTGAACATGTTCAAGCTTTTTTTTTTCAATTTGAATGTTATTTTTGAGACTATTTTATCATACTTAACTAAAATTATTGTGGTTAAAATAATTTTTATTCTATAACCTACTGTTTTGTATAAGGCAGTAGTTAGTTCCTGTTAAAATACATGAAGTTGGATTTCGGTAAAAACACGTTGCCTCATTTTTCATCTTTAAAACACAGTAGGGTTTGAATCCAGTGTGGTTGTGCAACATCAACAACACGTTCCTTGACACATTCTCATCTGCCTGTACAATTCATCCAATCCAAGGCACATGGGAAAGTCATTCAAGTGTCAACACTGTGTTCAGAGGTTACTTTAACATGAGGACAGTGTACACATAGACTCTGCCAAAACCAAAAACAGATTGAACATCTCCAAAGACACAGTTATGGCAGCAAAAAACGTTTGTATACAGCCCATGTTTCAACTGCATCCCCTTCATGTGCTGCTGGCCATGGCTTTATTTGTGCCAAAGTTTGCTTTGGTCCTCTTCAGCGGATGCTCATGTAGCTTCCATCCAGGTGAAATCTGTACAGGCAGTGACACAAGAATATGTCAAATCTACTGCTTGAGAACAAGGAACACATGGTTGGACCTTGTGAAAAAAATGGGTAATGGAAATGGAAATGCAATACAAATAAGTGTAAGGCTTTCGGAATTTGGTGAGCCCCTGAGTTTTCCTAATGAGGTTCAAAATGTCAGTTTTAAAATATTGGATGAATTGCCATAAAATGTGGACATTCCTGTTCCCCTAAGGTTGAATTATTATTTTTTCTTATACTTGCAAAACTAATGACAGTCCCATCAGCCTCAGCTGTACTGTGTTAATTAACAAATGTTAGCATGCTAAAATGCTAACCAAGGATAGAGACCACAGTAAAGTGTATATCCGCTAAGCATCAGCATGTTACATTATCATTGTAAAAATGTGTTAGCATGCTGATGCTTAAGCATTTACCTCACTGTACAGCCTCACAGAGCCACTAGCACGGCTGTAGACTGTAGTTACTTTATTATCATGTGATAAACAATTCTCGGTACGTCCCTCCTTGCCTTGATGGATGTCAGGTGCAAGATCATCAAAATCATAAGTGAAACATTTTTGAGCAAACACAAAAGCAATACTATGCCTAAAGAAAAAATCACTAGACCACAATATCATTAAATAAGCTGTACAAGAGTAACACAAATGAAGATGGGATGTCAAAATGGAGATGACTGGCAACACGACAGAAAGCAGCCCGCTGTGTTTGGTCTCACCCTTAAGTGCTAGAATGGTTGTCTGATGGTTCATCTGTACTAGTGGCCTCAGAGCCAACCACCTCAACTGACTCAGATTTTTTAGGCATTGTGTCAGATACTTTGTTTTCTGGAGAACATCTGCACACATGGGCATTAATCGTAAGTCAAGAAAGGAAGGAGGAAAGGCAGGAAGAAAGAGAGAAGGTCCTTGTGGTTAAATTTGTTAGTTTCAGGTCACACAAGTGGAATACAAGACAGAACCTCTTTCTTACAAATGCAAAGAAATACAATGTGATGTTTTATCAAGAGGCAGAGTAGCACACAAAGCAAATTCTTTAAACTGCAACAGACATGGATAAAAGGAAACAGGAGAGGCATTACTGACATTAGCAGGTTAATTATTGTACAAAACCAGCATTTTATCTAAAATTACACTAATAATACAGCTGAAAGAACAACCCCCAACTGTCTGTGGTTGACTCACTTCCTCTTAAATCCACAAGTGTGGTGAACTGTAGCACTCACCTGCTGTGTGTGGGACTGCGGTTGTACGGAGAGGCAGGAGCACCAGGGTGTGGGTACTGAGGTGTGTCGGGTGTATCATACTCTGTCAGGCCGACTGCCAACTGGTTGCGCCAGTTACCTGTGCTTTCCACTGAGGACACTGCAAACAAGACAAAAGCAAAAACACTCAGCTAATGTTGGTGTGTAACTCACTAGTAATTGTTGTTATTGAAAACACGCTTAAGTCCAGCATAATGTCACTATTGTGAAACAAACAATTACCCTTCACATGATATGGCAATATGTTATATGTTATTACTGTACCATTACGGCCACTTCATAATTTTTGTTTTGGACCGATTTCTTAAATGTAATTATAAATTGAATGCCATTTTAATAAATTGCCAGTTGACTGTTTTTTAAGAATGCCAAGTACTCATCTTTCAGAAAACAAAAATGTTTTGCTCTGTGACTGTGTGAATGTAATAGTTTGTACATTAGAGGCACAAACTGGGGCTAATGTCCTCTTAGAAATCTTTGAACACAGCAAGTGAAACTCAACACTGAAACCCACATAAACAAAATAGTCTTGGGTGAGTTAGCAGCTCTTTAAAGTGACGGAATTCAGAGTGAGGGAGAATTAGATATGGAAATAAAATCGCATCCCTTGCAGGATGACCCCTGGCTGATCTATCTACTATGTAATAAACAACCAAGAGCAGATATGTATGTAAATACATCTATCCCTAATTCAGAATAAGACAAAAATAGATTTTAATAAATCATATTTTCTTGGGAGATTTTTTTGCTTCCTATACCATTAAATTTGACTTTTTCAAATTGCTCAAGGATATCATCTCACCTGATGAAAAGGAGGTGGTTCTGCTCGAGTGGCTGAAGGCCGCTGGCATGGTCTGGTAGCCAAGGCTGAGCTGAGAGCCGCTGTCGAAGTCATATCCAGCCAGCATCCCCCTCCCTCCGTCCCTGGGAGTCCTGCTTCGATGGTACCAGCCTTTCAGATGCTCCGCCACTAGGGCCTTCTGCATGTTCTTAGCCAACAGCTCATTTCTGGGCCCCTCTCTGCTCCGTGGTGGCCTCACCGTTGCGTAGGGATTCTGGGAAAGACCATCTGCTCGGTCACTGCTGTAATGCCTGAATCTGTCATGTCCATGATACCCATTTATTTGGTAAGAAGGATTGACGTTGTAGTGACCTTCTACTTCATTCTCGTACACATAGGCACCGTTAGCGTAAGGCTCCATGTCTGGGCAGGGATAGCCGGCGACATAGTAGGCACTGGGTGCATAGTGTGTTGAGGTCTCACATGAATAACCACAACCAGAATGGTGCTGGACCAAGTTTGGCATACTCCCAGTATTTCCATACACTTCCACCTTCCTGTGGAGACGATGCATGGTTGAGGTTCGGGAGTCCAGCGTACTGTAGTGGGAGTTGGCCGCCCCGCAGTAGTCCAGACTGGATTGGCTGGTGTAAGACGAACAGTCCTCTAACACCTCCGTGCTGTTGCTGCGGTGGGCTGGTGACAAGATAAAGACGGGCTTCTCTGAGTCTGTGTCTTTTTGCAGCCGGGACTGTGACTCCAGACTTCCGCTGCGATGCCTGAAGCAATGAGGAGA